TCTCAATGATTTATGCGTCTACTTTTGTCTTAATATTAATTACATGTGTCAAGTCACGCGCACGGAGCTTTTGCAACATGATGTTCGTATTTGTTTGTCAAAAATCCCGATAAACAAGCAAAATAATTTAAAATAATTTATAATTTATCTGTCAAAACCAAATAACAAGAAAAAACAAGTATAAATCCTCACGTTTCGACAGTCTATCTGAGCAGAACTGTGTCTATAGACTTACTGCCTGTCTAGTAACCTCGTTCACGTGGCACGCAGATTCTGCGTGCTAAAATAAATTGTGTCTATGGGTAGGGTGGTAGAGGAGTGGTTTGTCGTGTTTGGAAAATTGCAACTTATGTGTTCTAGTTTCTGGTGATAAAAATGTAATTTGCAACAATTAAGAAATCGTGAAATAAACTGTTTACTAAAAATTCAATTTATCATGACACGACTTCCTGCTATGTCAATGTCATCAATAATGAGTGTTGAGTTACATTTCAAACAAGAAGCTGAATCATATTTCAATTGCAAGGAAAGAACACCACACGCTACCTACAGCTTGCGAAGTTGAGCACTCTTCATCGTAGAAGCTACTTAGCTACTTTAATATCTTCCATGCACACCGACCGACCGATCAAACGAACGATCTGGCCGTTAAATTAAAGTGTATCCTGTTCGATATTCAAACGTGATCTTTTGGTTTCCGAAACATAGCCAACTGTTTGTAAACAATGCTACTGTATCTTGACTTGTGATAGCACAGGATTAAAACCCGTGTTCTTATGGACTATAAAATTCCTTGCATTGACATTGCTCTCTGGACATTGCTGAAACTCAATGAGCAAGACTTATTTCGAAGTATAGCTATCTGTTTTCACCAGTGAACTCTATTAGTTATCTTATGAACGCCATTCGTTCGTTTACGCCAAGACTTCTCCGTGCGTGCTATGGCTATGCGGTACAACGATAAAATTAATTTAAAATTAATTTTCAAAAAGTGTACCAATTTAGAATTGTTTGGATCGCAAATTAAGGCGACTTTTACACGCTTGCCTTGACTTTGGAACATAATTTAAATCATTGCAAAATAGACTATCGTTGTTTATAAACACCTTATATACACATTTAAAAATCGAAATTGAGGTTTCCTGAAGACGCGAACTGAGCAAAATGAAGTTTTTGAGAAGCTATGACGCACTATGTTTTTACCTAATTTCACGAATCTCGGGTACATGTCAGGTTTTGATAATTTTTCGGCGTTTAAAATAATATTTCAGAAAACAAACCCCATCACGTTTCTGAGTATACATTAGTGTATCACTGGACAAAATAAGAATACATTTCATTTTTCATCATGTGCCACCTGTTGCTCGGTGATAGTGGAGATTCCCTCTTAAAACGCTTCTATTTGTAGACATAGAATTGGCGGGTGGCTGAACTTGAAAGGTAAACGTGTCCGTTTCCGCATTCCATGTTACTCCTAAGGTTTTCTGCGTCGGTAAATCTTTTCCTTCAGCAATCTCCACACCTGACACACGATCTTCAATTGGAACGTCCGCGAATATACATTGAATCCGTTAAGGTTGGTGGGGTCCAAATTAAGCCGATTGACAGTGTTCGAAACTTGGGATCTTGGTTTGACAAGCATATGTCAATGTCAGTTGATGTAGGCAAGATGTGCAGTAAAGCATTCAGAGGACTTTATAAAATACGACAAATTAGAAAATTTTTATCTACTAATACAACGAAAACTTTGATACATACTTTCGTGACATCACACGTGGACTATTGTAATGCTCTGTTGGCTGGCATACCTCAGTATCAAGTCCAGCGAATGCAGAGAGTTCTTAATGCCGCTGCTAGACTAATCTACCACTGTCCAAGATTTTCTCACATCACCCCAGTTTTGAGATCACTTCACTGGCTACCGGTAAAATTCCGGGTGGAATTCAAAATTGCTTTACTGGTTTACAAGGCTCTTAATAACATTGCCCCTATCTATATCTCTGAAATGCTTATACCAAAACAATCAAGTGACGCTGGACATTACGATCGGATGGTCAAGGTCTATTATACATCCCGAAAACAAACTGTAAGACTCTAGGAGATCTGGCTTTCGCACATGCTGCTCCACAATTATGGAATTCTCTGCCTCTGGATGTCAGGAACTGTGAAAACATTTCTGCGTTTAAGAAACGCTTGAAAACATTTCTTTTCAATAAGGCTTATAACCCTTTATAGGTTGAGACCATATTGGATTCTTCATTCTTATTATAGACACATACATTAGTGTATATTCTAATTGTATACAATACCATGTTTTAATTCAGGGGCGGATTTAGACCGTTGCAACTGTAGCATATGCTACGGTCAGATTTTCCATAGGCCAGTTCTAACATGGATCATAAAATCAATCTAAAATATAATTTAGCAATATTTTGTTTACTTTCCTTGTTTATATTTCAAGGTTTTATTTTATTTAGTTTTATATGTTCTAAAACATTTTATTTTGACAAATTGATGACATTTACTAATACGTAACGTTAATTGTTTTAAGAATTCCCGCCCGAAAATACGGTTGTAATTGCCCGTTTGCGTGTCATTACGCAATGGACTATAGCTTAGAAAATATCATCCTTCAGAAATACACCGTAGCGTGTTGCCCATATATGATCAATTTTCGCTACGGTCAGATTCATTAAGGTCGAATCTGACCGTAGCGAAAATTGGCATATACGGCATTCTGATTGGTTTGCTACGGTCAAACGTAGCAAACCAATCGGAATGGGGCAAATGCTACAGTTTGCTACGGTGGCATGAAATTGGCTACTGCTCCAGAACGATGGAATATCTCATATTTGTGTTTGGCTCATCAACAACATGCTATTGGGAACCCACAGTACGGTTGTGCGCATTTCGAAATGAAAGCCGCCGTAAAGCTAAAGGATTTATATGCGTCGAGGTAGAAATAAAATCAGATAGTAAAACGAATCATTTCCAGTCAGGTAAGCCTTATGAATGATAAGAGATGCACATTATATTTTAATTTGAGTTTTTACTGTATAGTGTTCGCTATTAACTTCGCTTTATTAATGTGTTTGTGCGCGTATGTACAGTATACCTGCATGTATTGGAATTAATACGCGAATTATGATACGCGCGTATATATATCGTGTTTTATAGCGCGCTAATATTTGTTTGTAATGCGTATATATTCGTAAGATACGCGTATTCATATCATACGCGCGTTCATATGATATGCGTATTCGTATGATACACGCGTTCGTAGATGATACGCGCATTTCGGTATTCAATTGATAATGATATGCGTATGATACGAGTATCATACCGATATCGTATGTTAAAATATACGCGAGCAATAGTTTACATTTTGAGATCATTTCGGCTTATTTTTGCTTGAGAAAAGAATACAATGAGGACAAATTTAATGGTCACATGCAGTGCTCAGAACGCAGGAAATGGCATTTGCGGGCTTCAAATTTCAAAAATTTTCTGGGGGGGCATGCCCCCGGACCCCCCTAGCTATGCGAAGTCTTGGAAAATGCTACGGTCAGATTTTTGGCTGGATCCGCCCCTGATTTATATAGCATATTTAATTCTTAATATATTTAGATTTTTATAATGTACAGCGCTTCGAGTATATAATATAACATATGCGCTTTATTTAAATGAATAAATTATTATTATATTATTATAAAAATATTATATTATTATTATTGTTAAGAGTTTGTCCATGCGTCTGTAAAACATACTGAGCGCAGAATGGCGATGCCGCGTTTCCAAAAGGAATACGTTGGAATTCGTAAATCTCAGGCTGACTCTGTTGGTCAAAATTCCTCCAAAGGAATCCATGGTATGGACGGTCCTGACTTCGAAGACCGACATGAAGAAACATCTGGGAAATGTCTGCAGATAGTGCTACAGGGGCACGTCGAAAACGACAGAGTACATCAACTAGTTTTTGCTTAGGCCCAGGAAGGACTGCATCATTTAAGCATTTCCCATCGTGGTTTGCCGCAGCGTTAAGCACTATCCGAACTTTCGAGGCAGTCTTGTCGTTGCGAATGACAGGGAAGTGTGGCAGGTACCACTGATCTTCTTCTGCTGTACGGCGTACCCTTTTCGCGTAACCCTTTCAACGTATTCTTCTATGATACTGTTGTAAGATGAACCAATGCCTGATCCTTTTTTGAGTAATGATTTTTCCAAACTCTGCAATCGTAAAAGTGCCTGGTCGTAATTGCTTTTGAATATGGGTTCGTTTACTTTCCAAGGTATTCCAATTTCATACCGGTTGTCTTGCTTATGCAGTGCCTCTTCTGCAAACTTGGTCCCTCTCGCTTCTTCTGGCGTTAACACTGGAGTGTCCTCTTGTTGAATTGCCATTGAATCCAGCTCCAAAAATTGTCGCAAAATATTGTTCATTGATTCTTCGTGATTTTGTCCAGCCAAGCTGGATCGATAGGTGCGTGTGACATGTATACGCGAGTTATTGTGGATTCCAGTTGTCGATGTCGGTCCAAAACAAACCCATCCGAGGTTTGTACGCCGAGCAATTGGGTCGTTGGCTTGTGGTCCATGTATCTCTTGAAGAACATGGTGGAACAAAGGATGATCACTGCCGATTAACAGGTCAATCTGGCGTCGATTTGCGACTGGTTCAAAAGGAACTTTCTGAAGGTGTGGCCAATTTTCTTTAAGGTCGGACCACTATATTGCTGGGGTAGTTCCAGTGATATCATCCAAGACGTTAGCTTCGACCGTCGCTGAGAAATTTACTTTGACATTAGATACATTTAAATTGACCCTACGAGACATCTTTTGCACTTCGGTGCCTCCCGTTTCGGTTACAGTTAGATGTTGTGTTCGCCCTTGCAGCTTTAGTTCTTCCGCTGCATTTTCTGATATATAAGAGCCAGTTGAGCAAGGATCAAGCATAATATTCACCTTTACTTTCTTCTTTTGGTTGGGATTGGAAATGAAACCAGGTGGCACCATCAAGGACACTTTATCGATTTGATTGTTTGTAAAGGTAGAATTAGTAGCGTTCTCATTTTTGTTTGGTTGTTCAGCTCCATTCAGGGGACCACTGTTATTACTTCCATTATCCGTAGGATTTCTGTTAGACTGGTGTAAATACCTACTATGAGTGACACTCTTGCAACCATCAATATCGCAGGACACAGTTCTAGAACATCTTCTACTGTGATAACCTGACGCCAGACAACGAAAACAACGTCCACTTTTCGCTATCAATTCTGTCCGTTTAGTCACTGGTAACCTTTTAAATGCTTCGCAAAGCCACGGTGGATGATCCTCTCGCCAGTTTTCCACAGCACATCCTCTCGCTCTCTTACCCGTATTGAATCCACGGTTATTTCTCCTGTTGTCAGTTCTTGTGTCTCCTCCCTTACTGTCTCCACCAGCTTCTTCCTTCGCTTCGTCCATTATGTGAACTTTCATTTCAACCCGGTCAACTAAGTTTTCGGAACAATCTTCTCTATCATGTTCGAACAGGCAATATTTATACGATTGAACATCATCTTCCGTCAATTTTTTCCTTAGCTGTTAAATTGAGATGTTGGCTCTTTAGTTCCACATTATCTTGTATTGCTACCAAAATCTTATCCAAAATGCTAAGGAATTCTTCCAGGTCTTCAAGATTTCGACGCCGCACATTCGGCCATCCACGAAGGGTTGTCAGAAGTGTTATGGCAAGTCTTCGCTCCCCACCAAATTTCTTCTCTAGTTTTTGAAGGGCTCGTTTGTACGCATTATCAGAATATACAAGATCCTTTACCATTTTGAGAGCTTTTCAAGTCAGGCAACTTTGTCAACGCAACATTTTTTCTTTAACTAAGATATTTGCACCGTCCACAACCGACATAAATACTGCTTTCCACGATTCATATTCCGTTTTATTATCCCCAGAGAAAGTAGGCAGTTCTACACCTTTTAATTTAACTGACTGTATTCTTGAAGGAAGTGGTATCACTGGATAATCTCTCGTCGTTTCCGGTTCCAGGTTGTTAATCGTTCCTGGCACTTGATTGTCATTAGCATTCGGACTATTTTTGGGCTTTTATTGGCATGTTACAAAATCATCAAGCGCTTGTTTTGCACGTTTGTTGTTTAAAATAGCGATACGACGTGCGTCCTCTGTTCGTTGCTTTCCCAATTGTACTTCAGCAATTCTCTTCTCGAGGTCAATCTCTAACTGTGGTTGTTCGTCCTCAAATTTTTAAAGTCTCTCTTGGGCATCGCGAGCGTCTTGTTCTTTTTTTCCAACACGGAAGACATTTCTTCCTGCGTAATAATCGACGAATTATCTTTAATTTTGCCCGATTTGATGGAACACACAGAAGGCGCTTCGGACTCTTTTTCCCCCGAACGTATATAATCTATAATTTAAATGATTATCGGATGCTTGTGTTATGCTATCAACTTGACCGGATATTTCGTCAAATTCTTTGTCCAAATTCTCAATTATACTCTCCGTTTCATGTTCGTTTTCTCCCAAAACAACAACTTCCTCTCACTCGTAAATTACTTTTCAAGAATACCAAATTCCAATGTTACCTTATTCGCTGCTCGTCTGATGACCGTCTTGCTGATTAGAGTTCCTTCTTGGGACGACTTTAACAGCTCTCAGAGTCGATTCCTGGCCTTCGTTAAACGTATTTTACTATTTTTTTTCGATTTTTGAGAGTCTGACATCGATTGCTTCTCGATTGAGTCTGACATCGATAGTCTCTTCTTGATTTTTATCTTTAGTTTCATCGCTTTTGTCGCTTTCTTCGACCGGGACGTCTTGTTTTTCCTGCGCATTGTCGACAGACTCGCCTATATTTTCTCCGCCATATACAATATATTATATTTACTCTCGTAGTGAGCTCAATTCTGCAATATCGTCTATAAATCCGGCTCGACAGGACCATATGTCTTCGACGAAATGAAAACTCTTAAATTTCAACACTTTATTACACTATTAAAGAAATAAATCTACATTAACTCGCTGTATTTTGCGTATATTTCTCGGCCAAGACAACTTGTTTTCGACTTAAAAATCCAAAAATCCATTTGTTCGTATCAAGCGATGACCATATATGGCATGCAGTCAGACAAGTATTTAGTAATTATTAAATCTATTCTTAGAACTGTTAGAGGTTCAATAACAGCACCAATATGCTTCAATTTTCCCCCTGAAATTTTCATTCTGTTTCTATACCATATTTTCGAAGAATATAGAACATATCATCCTTACAAATCGTTTATTTTTTGTTTTTGGAATTGCCACTTTTTGGCGGGTAAATTACGTCACAAACTTGGCGCCAAAAATTGAAAATAAGCTATTGTTGATTTTAGGAATCCATTTAGAACAGCAGACTAAGGGTGCTTTAAAACTGAACTCTGTTTCTAAGTGCAACCATTTTATGGGAATATATAGCAATACAAATGTCAAAAAACCGCCATATTGAAACTAAAAATAGAACAAAATAGCGGATTTTTAGAAATTTAAGTCATTATATCTTCGCAAAGCTAAGAATGGTTGTCAGGGACGTAGCGACCAGAGAGGGTGTAAATCCCCCCCCCCCCCACCCTCCTGTAAAATTCGGGCAAGAATTATGCAAATTTTAAATTAAAATTTAGACATTTTCAGGTAAAATTTGCGTAATATATAATTATTTTTGTGAAATAATAACCATTTGTGTAAAATACAGCAATTTACATCCAATTTGTTCTCAAATTTGCCTTAGAAAACGCCAGAAATTCAGTCCCAGGGCTTCAGAAATGTAAAAATGTTCTGGGGGAGGACCCAAACACACTCCTTTTCTCCCGAAACTTAGTATGACAGTGCAAATCAAGTAAATTTTTGACATTGAAATTCAAGTTTCAGGTAAAATCCCCCCGCTCAACTTGAGATGATTTAAAATATAAAATATCCTTAGTCTGCTCTTCTAAATGGATTCATGAAATCACCTATAGCTTGTTTATTTTTTTTGCGCAAGGTACGTGACGTAATTTACCCGCCAAAAAGTAGCAGTGCCAAAGTAAAAAAAGACGATTTTTAAGAATGATATATTCTACGTTAATGGGATATTTAGTACAAACGAGTATGAAAATTAAAGAAATTGAAGCATTCTGGCGATTTTGCATGCACTTTTGAAAGGAATGCAAAGAAATTTGCAACAGATGCCAGGAGATACGTTGGGTGGGGACGAGGTTTTCTAGGCTTCCAGCACATTAACCTGATCCAGGAAATCCCGGCCACTACATGAACGTGTCCAAGACTCCAACTGCGCTGAATGATGGACAACAACAACCTGTTGATAATTTCGCCCATAGTGCCAATCTAAAACGGTTTTTAAAATACGGTGCAATTTCATCTGAAGATAGTTAGGTGAAAGGAGCAGCAAGTCGGTATTTTTGTTGAGGAGAAGCACGTGCTTGAGTTTACCAGACATCTTGAGGGACTGCAATTTGTATCTGCGATGAGAGGATTCCGAATTGTGCTCCTTCGATCGATTCCGGATTCTAGGTGGTGGGGGATCATCGACAATTTTAGAAACGTGGAGGTGGGGCATCGAAAATTTACCAGTATCCTCAACAGGTGCCCTGTAAAAATATGAGCTTTTTTCAAGACATTTCCATCCCCGGCATAACAAATGTACTTTTCCTTAACTTGTTCTTGTTTATATTCCACTATATTGTATAAATTCACTGTGTACAAATTTTGAGATTTTGGAGTCGTTGCACAAAGATAAACACATTAATTCAACACTCAAGAAACAGAGTGCAACACAACGTAAAATCCGTAGGAAATCGGTACAATTCTTTGAAAATTCTACAAAACAGTATGAAATTTATATATAGATCACTCAGTGAGTAGGCGCCATTTTGAAACTGAACTGAATATGTCACTGGAGCACTCTACCCTTGGAGTTCGGAATTGTGCGCGTGCGTACAAGTGTATGGGCTAATAAACGAAAAATGTACTAGAAGCATGGCATGAGCCTGCTAATACGTACATAAATACGAGCTTGTTACCATAGTATTTGAATTAAGGAATCAATAGCATTTGGCTTAATCATTGCACCCTGGGCCTGTGATGCGCTAACGCAAACTCGATTTCTCGACGACGAAGAAAACAGAAAATTGGGGATTTAAGACACTTGATCTTTCAGGTCAGTGTAATTATTCGGCCGGTTTTCTCAGAAATAGAGCTATCTGACAGGTGCTTTTCATCCACATCGTACTGTATTTCAGATGGATCGGTTAATTTTCTTCCACTCACCTGAATCGCAGAGTAAAAGGTTCCACTCCCACTAAACGATCCACTAAACGGTTGCACCTTTCATAATCTTTCAGGTTGGGATTATAAAACATTGGCTTAATAAATTTAATGATAACGTACTCTCGTTAACATAATAAATTATTACAGTTTGTTTAGGTTGAATGTATAAAAAGTTGTGTTTTAAATCCAGGAAATCAAGCTCAAGTGGTTCATAAACATGCATGCATTTTTGTGATTTCTTTGGGATGATTTTCACTTGAACGTGATATTTACATAATTGAATTAAATCCCAATGCATGTGTCTCGACCTCTATGCCCTAGTAACATGATATTACTCGCTTCTGGCAGTAGAAAACTATATATTTTACATGAAACAACAAGAAAAATTCATGCGTTTCATGTGTATATTTTAGAATGTGACAAGTTCAAATAGGCATTATATTGCTCGCTTTTCATGCAAACAAATATATATATTGTTCGAAAAACAAGAAGTAACGTGTATATCCATCTTTCAGCCTACTGGAGTGGAAGAAAATTAAAAAAGATTGAGTTATCAGGCACAATTAAATTCAGTGTGTTTCAGACAATCTTGGACAAAACCCTTGAGACCATTTCAGCTAATATTACAAAGTTATTGAACATTGACAAAACAAACTTTGTCTCCCCCTCCCCCCAGTTCAATGTTGTGAACAACGCCGAAACAACTTTTGGTAATATACCATGATACAAGCTCAACATTGAGTTGGGGGAGCGGGGGTTTAAGAATGGCAACATGATTCAAGATGGAGTTTATCATGAAAATACGCGAATTTTCTATAGGGGGAAAATAGTCTCAACCAGTTATGTCCAAGATTGTAGCTCAGATAAAAGAGATTTAGCCAACGAGATTAATAATGCCTTTTTGGCGCCTATGGCTAGATATGCGCCGTTATCCTCAGTACCTCGTCAACATCTCGTCCAACCTGCACAAAGTGATATAGTAATTAATGTTACATCGAATGCTGTTTTTCAAAACCTTCTCAAACTGAATCCCCCAGAAAGCTCATGGTCCGGATGGCATACCGTCGTGGCTCCTAAAAGAAAACGCAGATCTATTAGCTGGCCCAATAGCGGCCATTTTGAACTGCTCATATAGGGAATGTACCCTACCGCCAGTTTGGAAGAAGGCGAACGTAGTTCTATTACCGAATGAAAAGCCCATCCAGGATATCAATCGTCAGTTACGCCCTATTTCACTTACACCTATTCTATCGAAACTCGCAGAAGAATTTGTTGTAATGATTTAAGTGAAGCCAGCAGTGATGGAATTGATCGATAGTAAACAATTTGGGACGGTGCCGAATAGTTGTATGACATACGACATCTTATAAGCATGCTACACACTTGGAATAAGGATACGGATGGTAACGGTTCAACAACTCGAGTTATGTGCATGTTTCGTATGTGTACTATGCTTTTAGCTTTAGGCCAGATAACTACTATATATTGCGCATAGACCCCATAGTCGCGTTTACAGTAAATACCTTATATACGTCAGTCTCAGGTCGGTTGTGTTATGTAAAACTGATATCGCCGCATGTCTCCGGTAACAGATTGTCTTTAGACTTAGTGCAAATCCGCTTTAGCGTCTTTGATTTTGTTAGTATGGAAATCCATAAAATTTGAAACGTTTGTAAACACCAAAGTGATCTATTTTGTGTGTGCATGCTTATGCATGCATCTGGATAAATTGCGTGCATGGTTGTTAATTCTGGATCAGTCTACTGACGTTTTTGTATATTATTGTTCACTGTCTGTACAGATCAGTTGAAACGGTCGCCAAATATCGTTCAAACGGTTTCTTAGTTCCGTTCGAACGGTTTGTTTAAAGCCGTTCGTAGAGACGTTAAATTTTTTGTTTTTATCCGTTCGTATTGTTTACTCAAAACGTCTAAAACGTTTTGAGGATCCGTTAAAACGATTTCACAAAGCGTTTACTATCCGTTCGTTATCCGAACATTGGTCAGGGCCTCTGATATGTTACAATGACGTTTTATGACCATCAGAATTCTGTAAAATCTCTCCCCAAAGTCCAGGAAATGGCATTTCAGAGAGTCTAGATTCAAAAATTTTCCGGATGAGCATGCCCTGGACCCCCTAGAAAACTCTTGCATATACGGCGCTCGACTCGTGCCTTTGGTACTTGTACTAGGGGGGCCTTTGAAAATTTTGAACCGGGGGCCCCCTGATATAACGTTACGCCACTGAATAAGTTTAATACAAATAAAACAAATTGTTAGGTAATTTCAGTTCAGTCTTCTAATCAATTTGATCGCCTTTACATTTTAAGATTTTTCAGTCAAATTAAATGGTAATTTATGAAACTTAGAGCTTTGTTGAATAGGAAAACAGTTCATGTTTTTTGGCAAAAAGTTAAAGCAACAAAATTCGTAAACATTAAATATTTAAAGCAAACTTGCCGTATATTTCACGATTTCAAATAGTAAACCAATTCTTCTCATTTCTTCAAACAAAATTGCTTCAAGCTTGTTCTATATATGAAACGATTTTCCAAATATATGTCTTTTAAATCTTATCCCACTCCTACAAGCAATCAGCCATATTTTTGAGATCAGTTAGGATGACCACCGACTCAAGATCGTTGGTCACGCTGCGATCATTGTTGAACTTTAGACTTCTCTAATGCTTTCGTTTCCCCTGGTGTAAATAGCCGGGGGGAATTAGTACCCACGCCCCGGGCTAACGCCCGGAACGGCGATCCGCGCTGTATTAATGGTAATAATTATGTGCAGGGACTGGCCATTTTGGCAAAGGCGACTGCGCCTGAGCTAGTATAAGTTGGCCTTTTCTGAATTTAAACCAGCGAAAGTGACTACGTATATAACACCAAGAAAATTATTCTTTGCAGATTGTCTTTTCAAGTACAGCTTGGGATTCCCTTCCATTCCATCTCAGACCTAAGTTAAAAGCAATTGTACGTTTGTTGTTAACATCCAGGGCTGAATCGACAATAAAGAAGTACGTAGCTGAAATTAAGAAATTTTTGAAATGGTTCCGAGATAACAAAATTGTTCCAAGTTTGCCGTTATCTACAGCAGTCGTAGCCGTGTATTTGTCTGACTTATTGACACAACAACACGATCCTGCGTCAGGACTAGCGATAATGTATGCCGCCTTGAAGTGGTTCCGCAAGCGTTTATACCTGCATTCATGTAGCCTGCGTAGCAGGCGTTTAGCTGACGGCCGGTACAGAGGGAACGCCTGCCCAAATTGGCTATGACAAATTTGTTTTCGCTCATTAAGGATGATTGACGTTTTGTAATTAGCACCTTCACCCATTATCCAATCATAGTCGAGATTTATATTTAGCATCATAAATCCTTTTTGCTCGGCAACTACGGAGATTTGCAGAGTATTTTATCAGATATAAAGATGGTTTGATAAAACACGCACTGCGAATGTTTTAAATTGCTTCAAAAACGATCGATCTAGTATACGTTCATTGGCGAAGTAGCTTTCAAAAAATTCGGTGTGTATATGTAGAGAAAATCATTAAAATTTATGTAAATCAAGGGAAATCTCTATCACATATCTGACAAGGATACGACACGTTTATGATTTTTCTTTGTGTTTTCCTCATGAATTATTAATGAGTTTTTGAAGCTATTTTAGACAACAATCAGTCACAACGTGCACAGAGCTTTTAGCTTTTAAAAGACTCCTGAACCACGGCTGTTTAACGTATTCTGCCGTATAGCCAATATAACAGTTGAGCATGTTTTGAAAGGTTATTCTTAAAATCGACATTCAACCTCATAGCTGCAATGCCAAGTGATAGAGCCTCATCCATCTGGTCTTGAATTATATTTTAAAGTGAACAAATAACAAGACAACTATATTAAAGAAATATTCAGGATATATTTAAAATGTATAATTGAAAGATCAAACTTTTCCGTATTCCTAGGAAGAATCGCGATAACCGGCGTCTTCACCACGTAGCAAATTAATAATATACTTTCTCTGTTCTGGTTCAACTGAATTTCGAAGCCTAAATACTTGAAATATAAGAAAGTTTCCTCGAAGGCGGCATATTTTGATATTTTAACAGGCGGCATATTTTTGATACGCGACTATAAACGCGTCAACGCGAGCAAAATTATTGTTGACATTTGAGTTACGTAATTACTTCCGTTAACAAGATTAACCAATGGGAAGCTTTTCCGAAGATTCTTCGGAAAAGAACAAATTAATCATAGGCATTTGGACAGGCGTTTATTTAACGACGCCCTTCCTTCTCCCGCCCGCACTAAACGCCTGCTACGCAGGCTAGCATTCATGGAACTAACCCACTTGATGACTCGTGTTGTAGGCACATCGTTAAAAGTGCGAAAAGAGCCCGAGAATGTCCTATTGCTAAAAAGGAGCCGTTAGATACAGACGTTATCAAAACAGTAATTGACAATTTTGCCACAGTCGACGCATCATTGAAAGATTTGCATGCGTATTGCTGCTTTCTTTAGCTTAGGCTTTGCGGGATTTTTTCGTTTTAATGAATAGACAACTTGCATGTTAGACTAATTTTTTATTTAGGCGAAAAAAAGTAAATTCCCGTAAAGAACTTATTAAAGTCAGTAAAATTGCAAAATTTGGTTACGAAATGTTGTAAAATACAGAAAATATAGCCTTGCGAAGTTTGCATATTTTCAGTATGTTTGTATTAAGTGCAGAAAGGGATGGGAGCCATGTTTACATAGCTATAAGACTCATACTAAATACTGTCCAGTTTCTATTTGAGAAAGGTATCTTACAGCTGCAGATACGAGGCCTTCCAGTAGTCTACCGTTGTTCAGAACACTGAGAAACACCAAGTCAGGCTCAGAGGCTCTACTTTGAGAAATGGAAAGCATTCATATACCCGATGTCGAGAAATCCTTAACTGTTGTGTTTTATGCAGTGTAATCACATTATTTTCTCAGATGAATATATTACGATTCTAACTCCTCGCAGCAAGACGTATATATATATATATATATATATATATATATATATATATATATATATATATATATATATATATATATATATATTTATTATATACACAAGGTCTGGATAGGAGGTATTCTGCAACCTGATTGGTTCTCTACTAGCAGGATATATTAGCTCATATCCGCTAGTAGAGAAAAACAAAATGGCGGCTAAAATTGAATTTCCGATGTTTTGCGAACGAGAAAACGGCAAGTTGTTCGCTTTTTATAGCCTTTACAGGATTAAAAACACAATGAAAAAACTCGCACAAATTGTTTACAGGTTAGCAAATGAATTTTTAAAATTTAAAATGGTTAAAAATATATATTTTGGAAAAAATAATCGGCCGAAAGAGCGAAGATAAAAACATAAACAAAATAGAAAAATATTGAAAATAACAGAAAAGCAAAGTCTGTGAATTCAGACCTTGTGTATATAATAAAACAGTTATTCCACTCACTCTCGTCGAATATGAGCGATAGCCGATTCGGCGCTACGCGCCTTATCGGCTATCAGCTCATATTCGACTCGAGTTCGTAGAATAACTGTTAAATATATATATATATATATATATATATATATATATATATATATATATATATATATATATATATATATATATATATATATATATATATATATATAAATATATATATATATAAAATTTGGTTTTGTAGGTTATAAAAACTTTTGGCAAAGTGCTCAATGGAAAACCAGAGCATATTTAAATTAAGGTACAACAATCAACAAAATCCACTAGGCATCTTTATTACTAAATAGTTTCGTACCACAAAATGTGGCACTCAATGTGAATGCCACATTTGAATGTGAGTGCCACATTTAAAATGTGAGTGCCACATTTAAAATGTGAGTGCCACATTTAAATATATATATATATATAATATATATATATATATATATATATATATATATATATATATATATATATATATATATATATATATATA